GATGGGTATGAAGGACAGGGGACAAGGAGTGGGACAGGGGGTGGGGGACAGGGACAGGGGACAAAGATTGGGGCCAGGGGACAAGGGACAGGAGATGAAGGATGGGGGACAGAGATGGGGGACAGGGGTGGGACAGGGGACAAAGAGTGGGACAGGGGGACAAGGGGAGGGGACAGGGGATGGGGACAGGGAGCAGAGGTGATGGGTGACGAGGGACAGGGGACAAAGGACAGGGCCACATATGGGTGGCACCAAGGTCACATGTGGGCGTCACCGTGGTCACATTGTGGGTGCCAATGGGGACATGTGGGTGCCACCACGTTGGGTGCCACCAAGGTCACATGTGGGTGGCACCAAGGTCACGGTGCGGGTGGCACCGGGGTCACATGTGGGTGCCACCACATTGGGTGCCCCCAAGGTCACGTGTGGGTGGCAATGGGGGCATGTTGGTGCCACCACGTGTGGATGCCACCAAGGTCATGTTTGGGGAACACTGGGGTGACATGTGGGTGCCACAGTAGTCACATGTGGGTGTCATTGTGGTCACGTAGGTGCCACCACGTTGGGTGCCACCAAGGTCACACTATGTGTGGCACTGCAGTCACATGTGGGTGTCACTGGGGACATGTGGGTGCCACCACATCTGGGTGCCACCAAGGTCACATTTGGGTGCCACCAAGGTCACAGTGTGGTGGCACTGGGACCACATGTGGGTGCCATTGTTGCCATCTGGGTGCCACTACATGTGGGTGCCACCAAGGTCACATGTGGGTGTCATTGTGGTCATGTGAATGCCACCAATGTGGGTGTCACCAAGGTCACATGTGGGTGGCACTGGGGACATGTGGGTGACACCAAGTGTGGGTACCACCCAGGTCACGTTTGGGAGTCACTGGGGTCACATCTGGGTGCCATCATGGTCACATGGGTGCCATCACATGTGGATGCCACCAAAGTCACATGTAGGTTCCACCAAGGTCACATGTGGGTGGCAGTGGGGACATGTGGGTGCCACCACATCTGGGTGCCACCAAGGTCATATTTGGGTGGCACCAAGGTGACATGTGGGTGCCACTGTGGTCACGTGCGAGTGCCACCAAGGTCATTCTGTGGGTGCCACCAAGGTCACATTTGGGTGCCGCCAAGGTCACAGTGTGGTGGCACTGGGACAACATGTGGGTGCCATTGTTGCCATCTGGGTGCCACCACACATGGGTGCCACCAAGGTCACACGTGGGTGGCACTGGAAACACATGAGGGTGCCACCACGTCCAGGTTGCACCAAGGTCACATTTGGGTGGCACTGCAGCCACATGTGGGTGTCAGTGGGGGCATGTGGGTGCCACCATGGTCATGTTTGGGTGACCCTGGGGTCACACGTGGGTGCCATCGTGGAAATGTGGGTGCCACCACATTGGGTGCCACCAAGGTCACATGTGGGTGTCAGTGGAGACATTAGGGTGCCACCAAGTGTGGGTGCCACCATGGCCATGTTTGGGTGCCACCAAGGTGACATGTGGGTGCCACGGTGGTCATGTGGGTGCTGCCAAGGTCACATTTGGGTGGCACCAAGGTCACAGTGTGGGTGGCAGCGGGGTCACATGTGGGTGCCACCACATTGTTGTCATGTGGGTGCCACTACATTGGGTGGCACCAAGGTCACATTTGGGTGGCACCAAGGTCACATGTGGGTGTCAGTGGGGACATGTGGGTGCCACCAAGTGTGGGTGCCACCATGGTCATGTTTGGGAGACACTGGGGTCACATCTGGGTGCCATTGTTGCCATCTGGGTGCCATCACATGTGGGTGCCACCAAGGTCACATGTGGGTGGCGCTGGAGACATGTGGGTGCCACCACATTTGGGTGGCAATGGAGTCACATGTGGGTGCCACCAAGGTCATATTTGGGTGACACTAGGGACATGTGGGTGGCACTGGAGACATGTGGGTGTCACCACATTGGGTGCCACCATGGTCATGTTTGGGTGCCACCAAGGTCACACTGTGGGTGCCACCAAGGTCATGTCTGGGCGACACTGGTGTCACATCTGGGTGCCATTGTTGCCATGTGAGTGCCACCAAGGTCACATTTGGGTGACACTGGGGACATTTGGGTGACACTGGAGGCATGTGGGCACCACCACCTTGGGTGCCACCAAGGACACGTTTGGGTGCCATTGTTGTCACGTGGGTGTCACCACGTGTGGATGCCACCACGGTCCCACTGTGGGTGCCACCAAGGTCACATGAAGGTGACACTGTGGTCACACGTGGGTCTCACTGGGGGCATGTGGGTTCCACCACGTATGGGTGCCACCAAGGTCACACGTGGGTGTCACTGGGGACATGATTGGGTGCCACCACAAATATGGGTGCCACCGAGGTTACACATAGGTGACACTGGGGTCACTCATGGGTGCCATTGTGATCACATGGCTGCTACCACATGTGGGTGCCACCAAGGTCACATTTGGGTGGCACCAAGGTCACATGTGGGTGGCACTAGGGACATGTGGGTGACACCAAGTGTGGGTACCACCAAAGTCACGTTTGGGAGACACTGGGGTGACATCTGGCTGCCATCGTGGTTACGTGGGTGCCATCACATTGGGTGCCACCAAAGTCACATGTGTGGGTGACACCAAGGTCACATGGGTGTCATTGTGGTTGTGTGGGAGCCATCACATGTGGGTGCCACCAAGGTCACATGAAGGTGACACTGTAGTCACATGCGGATCTCACTGGGGACATGTGGGTGCCACCACACATGGGTGCCACCAAGGTCACATGCGGGTGGCACTGAGGCCATGTGTGGGTGCCGTTGGGGTCCCATGGGTGCCGTTGGGTTTGTGTGGGCACCATCTGGATCACATGGGTGCCACCAGGGTCCCATGTGGGTGCCATCGGTGTCCTGTGGGTGCCACTAGGGTTGAGTGGGACCCTCGTGGTGACACAGGTGCCACCACATGCAGTTGCCCCCAAGGCCACATGGGTGCCACTGGAGTGCATGTGGGAGCCATTGGGATCCCATGGGTGCCATTGGGTTTGTGTGGGAGCCATTGGGATCCCATGGGTGTCATTGGGTTTGTGTGGGTGCCATTGGGATTCCATGGGTGCAGTTGGGACTGTGTGGGTGTGTTGAAGTCACATGGAGGCAGTTGAGTTTTTATGGGTGCCGTTGGGGTCCCATGGGTGCCACTGGGTTTGTGTGGGTGCCATTAGGGTCAGAGGGGTGCTGTTGGGTTTGTATGGGTGCTGATGGGGTCAGAGGGGTGCCCTTGGATTTGTGTGGGTGCCGTTGGGGTCCCATGGGTGCTGTTGGGTTTGTGTGGGTGCTGTTGGGGTCACATGGGTGCCATTGGGTTTGTGTGGGTGCTGTTGGGGTTCCATGGGTGCTGTTGGGTTTGTGGGTGCCCTTGTTGCCCCATGGGTGCCATTGGGTTTGCGTGGTTGCCGTTGGGGTCCCATGGGTGCTGTTGGGTTTGTGGGTGCCACTGTTGCCCCATGGGTACCACTGGGATTTTATGGGTGCCATTGGGGTCCCATGGGTGCTGTTGGCTTTGTTTGGTTGGCCTCTGTGCCCCTGGGTACCACTGGGTTTGTTTGGGTGCCGTTGGGGTCCCATGGATGCTATTGGGTTTGTGTGGGTTCCGTTGGGGTCCCATGGGTGCAGTTGGGTTTGTGTGCATGCTGTTGGGTTTCCATGGGTGCTGTTGGGTTTGTGGGTACCCTTGTTGCCCCATGGGTACCACTGGGTTTGTGTGGGTGCCGTTGGGTTTCTGTGTGAGCTGTTGGGGTCCCATGGGTGCTGACGGGTTTGTGGTTGCCACTGTTGCCCCATGGGTACCATTGGGTTTGTGTGGATGTCCTTGGGGTCCCATGGGTGCTGTTGGGTTTGTGTGTGCCCTTGTTCCCCCTGGGTACCATTGGGTTTGTTTGGGTGCCGTTGGGGTTCCATGGGTGCTGTTGAGGTTCCATGGGTGCCATTGGAGTTGTGTGGTTGTTGATGGGGTCCCATGGGTGCAGTTGGGTTTGTGAGTGCCACTGTTACCCCATGGGTGCTATTGGGTTTGTGTGGGTGCCGTTAGGGTTCCATGGGTGCAGTTGGGTTTGTGGGTGTCCCTGTTGCCCCATGGGTATCATTGGGTTTCTGTGGGTACTGTTGGGGTTCCACGGGTGCTGTTGGGGTCCCATGGGTGCCGTTGGGTTTGTGTGGGTTCCCCTGTTGCCCCATGGGTACCATTGGGTTTTTGTGGGTGCTGTTGGGGTCTCATGGATGCTGTTGGGGTCTCATGGATGCTGTTGGGATCCCATGGGTACCATTGTGTTTGTGTGGATGCCCTTGGGGTCCCATGGGTGCTGTTGGGTTTGTGTGCATGCTTTTGGGGTCACATGGGTGCTGTTGGGGTCACATGGGTACCATTTGGTTTGTGTGGTGCCGTTGGGGTCCCATGGGTGCAATTGGATTTGTGAGTGCCACTGTTACCCCATGGGTGCCATTGGGTTTGTGTGGGTGCTGTCAGGGTCCCATGGGTGCAGTTGGGTTTGTGGGTGCCCCGTTTGCCCCATGGGTACCTCTGGGTTTTTGAGGTACCATTGGGTTTGTGTGGGTTCTGTTGGGGTCCCATGTGTGCTGTCGGGTTTGTGGGTTCCCCTGTTGTCCCATGGGTACCACTGGGTTTTTGTGGGTACCATTGGGTTTGTGTGGGTGCCGTTGGGTCCCATGGGTGCTGCTGGGTTAGTGGTTGCCACAGTTGCCCCATGGGTACCATTGGGATTGTATGGCTGCCATTGGGGTCCTATAGGTGCTGTTGGGTTTGTGTGGTTGCTGTTGGGGTCCCATGGGTGCTGTTCTGTTTGTGGGTGTCCCTGTTGCCCCATGGGTACCATTGGGATTGCATGGGTGCTGTTTGGGTCCTATGGGTGCTGTTGGGTTTGTGTGGGTGCCGTTGGGGTTCCATGGGTGCTGTTGGGGTTCCACGGGTGCCATTGGGTTTGTGTGGGTGCTGTTAGGGTCCCATGGGTGCTGTTGGGTTTGTGCGTGCCCCTGTTGCCCCCTGGGTACCATTGGGATTGTATGGGTGCCGTTGGGGTCGCATGGGTGCCACTGGGTTTGTGTGGGTGCCATTGGGGTCCCATGGGTGCTGTTGGATTTGTGTGGGTGCCATTGGGGTTCCATGGGTGCAGTTGGGTTTGTGGGTGCACCTGTTGCCCCATGGGTACCTTTGGGATTGAATGGGTGCCGTTGGGTTCCTATGGGTGCTGTTGGGTTTGTGTGGGTGCCGTTGGGGTCGCATGGGTGCCACTGGGTTTGTGTGGGTGCCGTTGGGGTCCCATGGGTGCAGTAGGGTTTGTGGGTGCCCCTGTTGCCCCATGGGTACCATTGGGATTATATGGGTACTGCTGGGGTCCTATGGGTGCTGTTGGGTTTTTGTGGTACTGTTGGGGTTCCATGGGTGCTGTTGGGGTCACATGGGTACCGCTGGGTTTGTGTGGGTGCCGTTGGGGTCCCATGGGTGCTATTGGATTTGTGTGGGTGCCGTTGGGGTCCCATGGGTGCCGTTGGGTTTGCGTGGGTGCTGTTGGGGTCCCATGAGTGCATTTGGATTTGTGGGTGCCCCTGTTGCCCTATGGGTACCTTTGGGATAGTATGGGTGCCGTTGGGGTCCTATGGATGCTGTTGGGTTTGTGTGGGTGCCGTTGGGGTCCCATGGGTGCAGTAGGGTTTGTGTGGATGCCGTTGGGGTCCCATGGGTGCAGTTGGGTTTGTGGGTGCCCCTGTTGCCCCATGGGTACCATTGGGATTATATGGGTACCGCTGGGGTCCTATGGGTGCTGTTGGGTTTTTGTGGTGCTGTTGGGGTTCCATGGGTGCTGTTGGGGTCCCATGGGTGCCATTGGATTTGTGTGGGTGCCGTTGGGGTTCCATGGGTCCAGTTGGGTTCACATGGGTACCGTTGGGTTTGTGTGTGTGCCGTTGGTGTCCCATGGGTTTCATTGGTGTCCCATGGGTATCATTGGTGTCCCATGGGTGCCATCGGTGTCCCATGGGTGCTTTTGTCTTCAGCGCACACCACCCATCTCCCCCTGCTCCCCCATCACGCGATCAACCCCCAACCCCCAAATTTGCTGCCCCCTCCCCACTTTCTGACCACATCCCCCCCCCTACAGCCCCCTACCTCGGCGACTACATGGCCCCCAGCTCCTACCCCGGCGACGCCGACGCCTCAGACCCCCTCAAAGTCCCATCACCGACCTCCCTCTACCCGTCCGCCCGAGGCGGGGGGGATTTCGCCGCCTCCGATTCGGACCCCCCCGACAGCCCCCGCTCCGCGTTGGCCGGCGGTTACATCAACGGCGACGCAGCCGTCAGCGAAGGTTACGCCGTCGACGCCTTCTTCATCACCGACGGCCGCTCGCGTCGCAAAGCCCCCAACGGCACCGCGACCCCCTCGACCCCCAGACCCCCCCGGCAACGTCACGCTTGCGGCGAATGCGGCAAAACCTACGCCACCTCCTCCAACCTGAGCCGTCACAAACAGACGCACCGTAGCCTGGATAGCAAAATGGCCAAGAAATGTCCGACCTGCGGAAAAGTCTACGTCTCCATGCCGGCGATGGCCATGCATCTCCTGACCCACGACCTGAAGCACAAATGCGAGGTTTGCGGCAAAGCTTTCAGCCGTCCTTGGTTGTTGCAGGGCCACATGCGTTCGCACACCGGGGAGAAGCCTTTCGGTTGCGCCCACTGCGGCAAAGCTTTCGCCGACCGTTCCAACCTGCGCGCTCACATGCAGACCCACTCGGCCTTCAAGCACTTCAAGTGCAAGAGATGCAGCAAAACCTTCGCCCTCAAGTCCTACCTGAACAAGCACTACGAGTCCGCCTGCTTCAAAGGAGCCCCGACCGCAGCCGCAAACCTCAGGGCTTGAGATTTCAACGGGGGGTGGGGGGAAAAGGGGGGGAGAAAATCCGGAGGGGGAATGGAGGCGGGGGACCCCGAGGTGGGTGAGGAGGAGAGGGGTGGAGGGGTGGCCAACCTGGGGGTTTGGTGGGTGTTTGGGTGGCGCGATGCTTGGGGGGCTTTTGTGTGGAGCACAAATTTGGGGGTCTCCTTCATTTCTGGGTGCCTGGGCAGACCCAAATTTGGGGTATCGTCTCGTTTATGGGGTGCCCTGGGCCCGTATGGATCCTAAATTTGGGGTATTGTCTCGTTTATGGGGTGCCCTGGGCCTTTATGGACCCCAAATTTGGGGTATTGTCTCGTTTATGGGGTGCCCTGAGCCCATATGGACCCCAAAAGTTGAGGATCCCCCTTGTCTATGGGGCACCCTGAGCCCATGTGGACCCAAATTTGGGGTATCCTCTCATTTATGGGGTGCCCTGAGCCCATATGGACCCCAAATTTGGGGTATCCTTTATGGGGTGCCCTGAGCCCATATGGACCCCAAATTTGGGGTATCCTCTCATTTATGGGGTGCCCTGGGCCCATGTGGATCCTAAATTTGGGGTATTGTCTCATTTATGAGGTGCCCTGAGCCCATATGGACCCCAAATTTGGGATATCCCCTCGTTTATGGGGTGCCCTGAACCTGTGCAGACCCATATTTGGGGTATCCCCTCATTTATGGGGTGCCCTGGGCCCATATGGACACTAAATTTGGGGTATTCCCTCGTTTATGGGGCACCCTGAACCTGTGCAGACCCAAATTTGGAGTATTCCCTCGTTTATGGGGTGCCCTGGGCCCATATATACCCCAAAAGTTGAGGATCCCCCTTGTCTGTGGGGTGCCCTGGGCCCATATGGTTCCTAAATTTGGGGTATTCCCTCGTTTATGGGGTGCCCTGGGCCCATATGGACCCCAAAAGTTGGGGATCACCCTTGTCTGTGGGGCACCCTGATCCCATGTGGACCCCAAATTTGGGGTATTGTCTCGTTTATGGGGTGCTCTGAGCCCATATGGACCCTAAATTTGGGGTATTCCCTAGTTTATGGGGCACCCTGAACCTGTGCAGACCCAAATTTGGGGTATTCTCTCGTTTATGAGGTGCCCTGGGCCCATATATACCCCAAAAGTTGGGGGTCTCTGTCATTTATGGGGTGTGTGCCCGTATGGACCCTAAATTTGAGGTATTCCCTCGTTTATGGGGTGCTCTGGGCCCGTGTGGACCCCAAATTTGGGGTATCCCCTCATTTATGGGGCGCCCTGAAACTGTGTGGACCCTAAATTTGGGATTTTCCTTCGTTTATGGGGTGTCCTGGCCCCATGTGTAACCCAAAAGTCAGGAGTCCCATATGCGCCCTAAAACTCAGGGATCCCCTCTCTGTTCTTTGGGGAACCCTGGGCCAATGTGGACCCCAAAACTCGGGGGTCCCCCTCATTTATGGGGTGCCCCGAGCCTGTGTGGACCCTAAATTTGGGGTATCCCCTCTTTTATGGAGCACCGTGGCCCATATATACCCCAAAAGTTGGGGGTCCCTCTCATCTATGGGGTGCCCTGAGCCCATGAGGACCCCAAATTTGGGGGTCCCCCTCCTTTATGGGGTCCTGGACCCATGTGCACCCCAAAAGTTGGGGCTCTCCCTCATCTATGGGGTGTCCAAGACCCATGTGGCCCCCAAAAGTCGAGGATCCCCCTCATCTATGGGGTCTTCTGGTCCCATACGCACCCCAAAACTTGGGGATCTCACAGTTCTTTGGGAGCCCTGGTCCCATGTGTACCGCAAAAGTCGGGGCTCCCAGGTGTACCCCAAAATTCTGGGACCCCCTCGCTGTTCCTTGGGTGCCCTGGACCCACGTGGGCACCAAAAATTGGGGGTTTTCCTCATTTATGGGGTGTCCTGGGCTCATGTGACCCCAAAAGTCGGGGGTCCTCTTGGTGTTTATATGGGAGTTTGGGGACCTCGTGTAGATCAAAAGTTGGGGGTCCGTGGGTACCCCGAAAATTGGGGGTCTCCCTCGTTTATGGGGTTCCCTGAGTCAATATGAACCCCAAAACTCTGGGGTCCCACGGGTACCCCAAAAGTCGGGGATCCCACTCGTTTATGGGGTGTCCTGAGCTCACGCGGATCCCAGATTTGGGGATCCCCCTCATTTATGGGATGATGCCCACGCGTACCCCAAAAGTCGGGGGTCCCATATGCACCCCAAAACTTGGGGATTCCCCTCGGCTGTTCTTTGGGTGCCCTAGGGCCACGTGGACCCCAAATTTTGGGGTACCCCTCATTTGTGGTGTGCCCTGGGCCAACCCGGACCCCAAAAATCGGGGGATCCCGTGTGCACCCCGAAATTAGGGGTTCTCCATCCTTTTTGGGGTGTCCGGGTACCTTGTGCGCCCCAAAACTCGGGGGTCCCCCTTATTTATGGGGTTTCCTCGCCCCACGCGTACCCCAAAAGTTAAAGGTCCCCCTCTATATGGGGCGTCCTGGGCCCATGCAGACCCCCAAATTCGGGGGTCCCGTGTGCACCCCAAAACTCAGGGACCCCCTCACTGCTCCTTGGGTGCCCTGGTCCCACGTGTACCCCAAAATTAGGGGGTCCCCCTTATTTATGAGTTGTCTGGGTACCTCGGGCTCCCCTAAACTCGGGGGTCCCATATGCACCACAAAATTCGGGGACCCCCCCCCCGCTCTTCCTTGGATGCCCCGCTCCCAAGTGTACCCCAAAAGTTGGGGGTCCCCCTCATTTATGGGGTGCCCCCAGGTTTTCAGCACCCCAGAATTCGGGGATACCCTTTCCTATATGGGGTGCCCGGTCCCCATGTGCACCCCAAAAATCGGGGGTCCCATTTACACTTCGAAATTCGGGGGTCCCCCTCCCTTTGTGGGGTGCCTGGGTACCTCGCGCACCCCAAAACTCAGGGTCCCACGCGTACCCCAAAATTCGGGGCTCCCCTTCACTTATGGGGTGCCCTATGTCCCCAGCACCCTAAAACCCGGGGGTCCGTGTGCACCCCGAAATTCGGTGCCCCCCTCCTTTATGGGGTGCCTCAAAACTCGGGGGGGTCCCCCCACATTTACGGGGTGTTCGTGGGGGTCCCGTGTGCGCCCCGAAACTCAGGGACCCCCTCACTGTTCCTTGGGTGCCCTGGGCCCATGCGGACCCCAAAAGTCGGGGGTCCCTTGTGCACCCCGAAACTCGGGGGTCTCCCTCGTTTACGGGGTGCCTGGGTACCTCGTGCACCCCAAAAACTCGGGGGTTCCCCTCCTTTATAGGGTCCCCCACTCGGGGAACCCCCCTCCTTTGGGTGGGGGCTGCACCCCAAAACTCTGGGATCCCCTCCCCAATTTGTGGGGTCCCTCTGTTCACCCCACAACTTTAGGAACCCCCCTCCCCCTCTGATGGGATCCCCTCTGCGCCCCACAACTCTGGGACCCCCCCCCCCAATTCAAGGGTCCATCTGTGCACCCCACAACTCCGGGATCCCCCCACAGCTCCGGGACCCCTCCCCAATTTATGGGGTCGCTCTGTGCACCCCACAACTCCAGGACCCTCCCCCCTCCCCCAGTTTATAGGATCTCCCTGCGCACCCCACAATTTCCGGGACCCCCCTCTCCCCTCTTTATGGGGTCCCTCTGTGTCCCCTAAAACTCGGGGACCCGCCCCCCCTTTTCCGGGGTCTCCCGTGCACCCAACAACTCTGGGAC